AACCAATAGTTTTGAGGCATAAAATTTTTTGACAATTTTTTTTTTTTTGTGTTATTATTGTATTGAATTGTGTTAATTTGTTTTGATCATTTGTTTGTTAGCAGGAATGCAAGATTTGCATTATGCAATTAACATTGCATTAGCTTTCTGTTAAGGTAAGCTGCTATTAGTTTACTGAAAGGCTGCCATTAAAATCAGTGAACACCTTTTTTTCTAGGGTTGGGGCTTGGGACTACGTTTACATAGATTTCAGTATTCTAATGATTTGCCTTTATCTGAATGAGACACTAATATGATTAAGGTCTTTACATGAGTTGATTTTTGAGTGTTCCTTTCATGATCCTGTTTTACATGTTAAAGCACATAATTCGATTAACTTAATCGTAATAATCCTTAATTGTAAAATATAGCCATAGTTTAGAATGTTTAGTTTAAGCAAATTACTGTATGCGTCTATGCGATCATGCCTGTTGATGAAGGGAGTAGCTCACCGGCTGCGCCGTACTGCACACTTTGCCTTCTATATCTGAGCAGCAAGAACAAATGCCTAACATCACAGACGGATCCCTCAGAGTTGTTTAGAATTAAATGTTTAAAGATGGTGTGACACAACGCATACCTATGTGTGCCTCTGGTGTACCCCTTGATGCTTCTTACGTCCTTAATGCCGCACCAGTTGCACCGGAATTCAAATGCTGATTTGGCCGGTACACACTGGTGACAAAGGTACATATATCATAATGGCACAGGGTTTCAGTACCCAACCCTATCAACCCTTAGCATCTAATCAGCTGTGGCTCGGGGTTACCCTGATCTCCTTGCAGTCCTGTTTGGTAGTGCTAAGTTGTGATTTTATAGTCAAATTTACAAATGCTTTTACAGTGTACGTCAGAACAGATAACATCATGTTCTAAACAGAACACATATAGGCTAAAGTCGAAGTGAACAGCTGTTCATATTGTGAATTGATACACAAATATATTTTCTGTATTTTATTCCATATTGCAGTTTACTTTGTTTTTTTTATTATAACTTCTGTGCTTTTTCTGTTTGTATATCTTACAGTAATGTCATTTTGCAAATATAATTCAGTGTCTACTTTTTTTTTTACATAAACTGTACATTTTATAAGCTACTCTGAAATGGTTGTTAATTTTTTTGTATTAAATTTCAGCAGCAAAAGAAACAAAATGCCTGCAAAATGTAGAGAGGCTTCAAAGATAAGAGCAGACCTGGGGCCTGTTTCAGTAAGGAGGTTCAAACAACTCGGAGTTTAAACTTGAACTCTGAGTTGATTAACCGAGAGATTAAAAACTCTGAGTTTTCGGTTTCAGAATAGCTGATCTGAGCTGGGTCAATCAACTTTGAGTAGACCAACTCAGAGTTAAGCGCGCACACCGTGACTATAAAAAGGCATTATCAATGGAGCGCAGATATTACGAGTGACCATGGCAACATCTTAAAAAAAGAGATCACCATTTCTTTCCCCAGCTGAACTTGATCTGCTCATGCAAAGTTATAGCAAATATGAGTGTATATATTTAAAAAGAAGCAACCATCAGTGAAACAGAGACAGCGTGGGAACACAGCTGCTCAAGTTAATGCGTAATTTTTAATTTAAAGTATTTAAACATTTAAGTATAATAAAATAAGTAATGTAATGTGTGACGTTTATACTTTTTTTCTAAACTTTTATACACGTTTATCAGTTTTAATAGATTTAACAGTGCACTTGTGTGTCTGCCTTTTTATTGATCAAGTAATAGAGGTTGATATAACATTAAGAACGTAAGCAGTGCTAAAAATAATTTTTAGACAGAATAATAATCCCATTAATCTAGTAACAGTACATGTCGAAGGTTAAGCTAAATATTTATGGAAAAAAGGACAAGCCTCGTACGTGACTTTGTTCTGTGTGTGACAAAAATGTATGCAATAGCTGTGTTTCCATCAAAATACAGGCTATTACATAAATGTGTGCAAAACTGGAATAACGCCTAAAAGATGCGAATAAAGCAGTGTTTTTATCCAACGAGTCAAAGAGAACACAATCGTCACTTCCTGATTAACTTGCGGCAAATATCAACAGTAAAAACAGAATGTTTTTGTTTGTTTTCTTTGTTTTGTCAATGTGTTTTGATTGACTAAACTTTTCTGTTGAAAGAGAACATGTGTTAGGCAAAGTATATTGTGTTAGTTTATTATTGTATTTTGAACATTAGCTTTGGGGTTTAGTTTACAATGTGTGAGTTTGAATATGAAAATAACCGTTTTGCAAATTGTTTGTTTTAGGTGTTGGTGTGTTAAGAGTTAAGAAAACTTGTTAAATGTGTTGAAAAAACTGTCATATGGCTCATTTTCACTGAGTGGTATGGTACAGTTCGGTACGCTTTTATGGCCGTTTCTACTGTCAAAAGGCGTACCGTACTGAACCGTACCATACCACTTTGGAAAGGGTACCAACTGAATGACAATAAAAGAGACAACCGATATTTTACCTATATATATATATATATATATATATATATATATATATATATATATATACACATACACATACATACATATAATAATGGGCCATGGTCAACCCGGGCTCAAGCAAACCTTGTCGTCGTCTGGATGAACAACCACAATGCCAGAAAAGAAGAGCAGATTTACCCTGTGCCCCTTAGTTTTTTACCAGCCAGTCTGAAGCTTGAGCAGTTTCGTTAACTTCTTAAGCTGATGATAATAACGTGAGCTTGATTACTGACGTGCTTTTGAAACCCGATCTTATTGGAAACTGACAAATGCGAGACAGATGAGTGAAAAAACAAAAGAGAAGCCTGAAAAAAGGAGCACATTTTTCAGCAAATGCGAACAAACTGCCATGTTAAAATCAAATCAAATCACTTTTATTGTCACATCTTTAGCAACATGTGTGCTATGATAAATGAAAAGCTCAGGTGCTGGCTCCAGACAGTACAAAATACAGATTTACAGATCAAATACATATTGCAAATACCACGACAGTGCAAAATACAGACAGTGCAAATAAAATGACAGTGCAAATCCAACAATAGTACCTGGATGCAGCCTTTAAGATGCAAGCTGAGATTGCATCACTCAGCGATGCAATGTCAGAGACAATGCACTCAACGGAGTGAGTGACGTCAACGTGACGGGTAGGGTTAAGGGTGGGGTTAGGTGAGCGCATTAAAAAGCATTGGATGCAGCTCAGATTGGATTGCACCAGGTCTGCATCTAGACCCCTCTTAAATACAATGACAGTGCAAAGTACAGACAGTGGAAATACAATGACAGTGCAAAGTACAGACAGTGCCAATACAATGACAGTGCAAAATACAGACAGTGCCAATACGACAATGTAAAATTGACAGCGATATGTACAATCAATAGGTGTCCACATAGTTGTAGGCAGTATTGTTTCAAGTATGGATTGGTTAAAGTGCAGTGCATGCTACGTATTGATAGTGTGCAGTGAGGGGTATAGAAGAGTCTGTGTGTGGTGTGTTAAGTGTTCAGTGTTTAACTATTATGGTCACCTTTTGGACTATTATGATCTAGTTATAACAGAGGCTACATGTGCTGCTGAAGATTACAGACTCAGATGAGAGGTTTGCTCTGACTGTGGGCTATATTTTGTACTGTTTTTGAATTTAAATGGACTAAATGTCTGATGTGTGTAGTTCTTCTGTAGTTGGTAACATATCAGAGACTGTAAGGGTCTGTATGTGTTCAAACATGTTGCATTTTAATTATTTAATTACAGACGGGGTGACGCAGTGGCGCAGTAGGTAGTGCTGTCGCCTCACAGCATGAAGGTCGCTGGTTCGAGCCTCGGCTGGGTCAGTTGGCGTTTCTATGTGGAATTTGCATGTTCTCCCTGCGTTCGCGTGGGTTTCCTCCGGGTGCTCCTGTTTTGCCCACAGTCCAAAGACATGTGGAACAGGTGAATTGGGTAAGCTAAGTTGTCGGTTGTGTATAAGTGTGAATGAGTGTGTGTGGATGTTTCCCAGAGATAGGTTGTGGCTAGAAGGGCTTCAGCTGCGTAAAAATGTGCTGGATAAGTTGGCAGTTCAATTAACTGTGGCAACCCCGGATTAATAAAGGGACTAGGCCGAAAAGAAAATGAATGAATAACAGATGTTACAGTAGGCTATTTCGCACTGTCACTGATATGCAGTTATAGTCAAATCCTGTTCATTGAAGTTAGAAATAAACATTTATACAGAAGTATTTATGTGTATAAAGCGTCTGTTTTGTGAGAAGTGCTTGTCATATTATATGTAAACGACCCGTATAGCTTTACTGTAGACATTTTCTCGAGTGAAAATGACGTCGACTGAAACTTTCTGTCATACACCACGGCCACCAAAAGGGTACCCTTGGTAGTAGAAACGCACTCCTGATAAAGGTGACCCGTACAGACCCATACCGTACTGTACCAGTCAGTGGAAACTAGCTAATAGTGATTGTAAAAAACCCTGTAAACTAATAAGAAATGCTGCTCTGAAATGAACAATAAGCTAATTGTTCAGAGATCTAAACTTATTGTTTTGAAAAATAAAAAATTAGAATAGAGCCAAAGCAATAGAGAAAAACTAAAACAAACAGACCAAGAAGGAAAACCCTAATAAAGACAACTTGTGTGTATGTGTGTGTCCCTTGTAAACTTAATGCGATTGGGACAAAATGTCAATTACATGTTAATTACGTGATGTTAACAACATACAACATACAGTATGGTAAATAATGTACAGTATAAAATCATTAGGTCAATAGTAAGCACATGTGTATGTGTGCTTGTACATTTTTATCATGTTCTGTGCACAAATTTGTACTCAGAAGTGAGATAAACCTGGCACAAACCTCAATTTGGAGATATTGTCATTAGTAAAAACTGTCAAACTTACTAATATTTAATAACTGATGTCACTCAAATAAAAAAATCTCTCAAAAGTTTTTTTTTTTTAAATACTTTTTTTTCTTCATTCTTCCAATTCTCAGGTTTGTTGACCATCAGCTTGGTGAGTCTTAGTCCTTTAAAGGGATCGTTCACCAAACATTAAATTAGCTGTTAATTTACACACTCATGCCAACATTCTTAGCTGAATCTAAGGTCCTTAGTGATTCATGTAATGGAAGTTACTAATAGTTACTCTTTTTGTTTCGCGACGTTGTGTAGATCAATGCTGCCAAGACCAAACACATCAACATTGCCATATACATTATTAATTATCCTACTAAATCTCTCAGTGTTGTCATGAAAGAAATATAAAGTTATTCGCCTGCTATGTTATCAACTACTTGGCGCAAGTGATTTGGTTACTGTTGCCTCAACATTTAAATGCATTCTTAGTGCTACAAATCTTTTCCCTCCTCCACCCCAGCTCCACCTGTTTAGATGTGCTATGGGGGTTACATGTGTTTGCGACAGCAATGTGTTATATTCAGCAGGGAACGACATGAAGGACCGCCTGATGGCCTGGAGCTGGATTGTTACTGGCCAGATCAGGCCGGTTCAGTGTGTTACACAGAATGCGGATCCTGGATACGACAACCATTATAAACATTTTAGATTACACTAAGAGGCACAATTACATTTTTAAATTACTCCTATATGTATACAGCTGAAAATATTCTAAATAATTTTTTTGCACAGACCATTTCGCTGTATAAGAAGTCTACCGTCAGGAGCCACTATTGATTTGGATTTGTTTGGATGTCTCAAATCTCAAAAAGCAGTAACTATTGACTTGCAAGACAATCAACAAGGACCTTAGACTGAGCTAAAACATCTGTAATATTCTTCTTTATTAAAAGAGGAGATATCCCTTTAGACTTTGCTTGCTTGAAGACTGTTTCAACGCTGGTTCATGAAGTTTTGCTGGAAAAAAAAAAAGTTGAAGGTCATGATGGTTACGTTTAGAAATTGATTTCTGTCATCATCTCCTAAGAAACAATACCTGACTCCTGCTCCTGGCATTTGCTGAAACCACTCGTGCTTTAAGATGTCATCTACAGTGATTCTCTTGGTTGGATCACAAATCAGGCACCTCGAGACCAAATCCTGGAATGCTGCAAGTGTTCACAAGAGAGCTGGTTAGTTACTGAGAGTTTCATGCTTGAAAATTGGTTTTGAAACATGTAGCTTGCGTTATGAAAAGGAGTGTGTGTTTTACACGTTGTGTGTTGTTAATGCCATTGTGTTATTGGTCCTGTAGTGTTTTCTTACCACTGGATATGCCGAACGGAAAAGTCAGACTGCAGTTCTGCATGTCTTCTAGTGATTTAAAGGGGTAAAAGCCACACATCGTTTTGTACATCAGGTAGCCCAGCGACCACACCGTTGTTGGGTCCGCCCGATATGTTAGGGTTGCAACATACTCTGGTGGGCAGCATCCTCCTGTTCATAAATATACAACACATATTCAGCTTAAGCATACATTTCAACTTATCAATTTCATATTTATATGCACACAAATCCAAATGCAACTCACCAGTAAATCCACCCACATAGACACTTTTAAGGAGTTCACCACAGCCAAAGTCTATCAGTTTGACTTGTTGTGTCTCGGTGTTGATCACACAGTTGTTTAACTTGATGTCACGATGGAAGACACCTCTGTCCAGACAGTGCTTGGTTCCGAGCAACACTTGGTACAACAGGCCTCGTGCCTCAAATTCCTTCATTGGCCTTTTGCGACTGATAAACGTGAGCAAGTTCTCGCTGGGTTGTGAATACTCCATGATGAGTATGTACCGTTGTTCCTCATCAAACCAGTCTATCATGTGCGCAACGTAAGGGCTTATCGGCTGTTGATTTAGCAGCAGGTTTAATGCCACTTCTGCCAACATTGGCTCGTAAAGCCCAGGCTGGAGAAAAAAGTTCAACAACAGAAGGTTAGGTATGTTTCAACATCACATTTCACTTGTATTATTTGGATTTAAATATGTGCATTATGTTTACTGCCAACTTACAACTGTGATATACTGGTCTGTTTTTAACTTGTTCACAAATTTGATGGCAACCTGCAAAAAACAAAACGAAATAAAAGTTGTTAATGAGGGGTTAAACTTCGGAAATTAAGAAGTATAGACATGAAATGTGAGCACTAATATGTATTGAACCTGTTGCTGATTTTGTTTGTGGATCCCCACAAACACATCACCGAAGCTTCCTCTTCCAAGCTTCTCTCCAATTTCATAAACTGCAGAAAATGGAACTGCAAAAAAGCACAAAAAGTTAATACTTTTACCAAAAAAAAAAAAAAAAAATAGAGTGGTGTCTAACTTTACACCACAGTCCTGCAGAGATTAGTTACAACTTCTAGTAATAAATCTACAGTTCTTAAATAAGTTTTGAAAATCTAGAGTTTTTAAATTAAGTCGCAATCTTGAGCATGAGTTTGAGCAGGCAAAATTCTGTCTGACTTAGCTGTGAAAAGGGTGATAAAACAAAAGATGAACAAGATAAAACAAGTTGACGTGACAGGTCACATTTTATCTTCTATTGCTCTCACGTGTTCACTTAGTACAAATTAGCAGGTCAGAGCTTGGAGTCTATGGAGTGAAAAGTGCATTATGACCATGGCTTAAGCCTGAAAAGACTTGATTGGTCTGATCTGATGTGTCGAATTAAGGCTGAAGCTAAATTGTAAATAGATGTTTGAGTGTGTTTATATTTGACATTTATAATCTTTCGTAATAGGAGTAAATATAATTAAATTTTGAAGTTAAGACAAAACCAAAAAAAAACAAACAAACAAGAAAATCACTTTCTTTGCAGTCATATTCCAACAGGGAATTAGGAAAATAATAAAAGTGGATCAAGATTATTTGTACAGTACAGATGTATAAATGTATAAATACACAAAGTTACTAGGAAAAATAAAAACAATCAGTAAATGAACAAGAAAAGTTAAAACACTCACGATTAGATGGACCTGGCGATGCAGTGGTTCTCAACCATTTTTTATCTCCAAGACGCTTGTGCTTGGGAGCAGCTCGAGCAATCTTGGGCAAAAAAGGCTGGGAATCTTCTGAGAAATTGTCTGTTTGATCATCCAGATCAAATTTAACTACTGGCTCAGGAATCGGTGAATCAGGCTCTGCAACAGGTGGATGTGGCTCAAAAATGGGTATATCTGGCTCAGATGTTGGTGGATCTGGCTCAGGACTGGGTGGGTCTGGCTCAGATGTTGGTGGGACTGGCTCAGATGTTGGTGGGTCTGGCTCAGATGTTGGTGGGTCTGGCTCAGATGTTGGTGGCTCTGACTCAGGAATGGCTTGGTCTGGCTCAGATGTTGGTGGGTCTGGCTCAGATGTTGGTTGATCTTGCTGAGGAGTGTGTGGATTTGGCTTTGAAGCAGCTGAACCTTTGTCTGTCTGTGGATTAACCACATTGTGCTTCTTGTGTAGCCACAGTTTTTTAAAGAATGTATAGAAACTCCTCTTCTTCTTTGTTGTTGTTTTTTCTAGAAATCCCAGACACAAAAAAAGTTAGAAAATGTCACCCAAAATCAGAAGTCATATACAAAGACTATCTACCAAAAATAAATCAATTTTATAATTTTAAAACTAACAAAGATACCATGAAGTGCATAAATAAATACATGACTTTAAAGGGTTACTTTACAAGTGTGAAACAGCAATAAATTGACATTATGCTCACCTTTAGCTGGCTCTGGATTGGCTGGGTTAGCTTCAAAGTTTGCTGGCTTATTGCTGGTAGGACCAGAATGAAGATGAGTCTGATCGTCTACAGCCAAAGACTTAAGACCGGACAGACCAAGCTGAAAATCACTCTGATCGTCTACAGCTAGAGGCTTATGGCTGGACAGACCAAGCTGAAGATCAGTTCGATCATCTGCAGCTAGAGGCTCATGGCTGGACAGACCAAGCTGAAGATCAGTTCGATCGTCTACAGCTAGAGGCTCATGGCTGGACAGACCAAGCTGAAGATCAGTTCGATCATCTGCAGCTAGAGGCTCGTGGCTGGACAGAGCAGACTCAAGATGAGTCTGATTGTCTACAGCCAGAGACTCAAGGCCGGACAGACCAAGCTGAAGATCATGCTGATCATCTACAGGCAGTGACTCGAAGCTGGACAGAGCAGGCTGAAGACCAGACAAATCTTGTACAGATGTTGTCTTGAAATTAGATGGGCCTGGCTGTGGACCCACTGGTTCTGTGTCAGACGGAGGCTGAAAAGGAAACACTTTACTGCCTCGACGTTGACTCTGATTGGCTTTTTGTACAGTCAGCCATATGTTCTTGAAGAATGCACAAAGCCTGCTCTTCTTGCTTTTTGGTTGAGTTTCTGAAAAGAACCACAAAGATTGCCAGTTACTACAATTACTTTCTTTAACTTGAACTAAATCATTGAATATTTTACAATAAACATTACATCACCTTATGTGTGTGTGTGTGTGTGTGTGTGTGTGAGCTGGTATGTCGATGTTGGAGATAGCGTAGAAATACTTGAGAAGGTTGTCTTTCTGTACGTATGTTCCTTTCTGTCGTAGGTTTGTGAAGGTGAAAAAGTCTCGGAGACCTTTCGTACTTTTCGTGTGTGTGTGTTTAAGGCATTGATGTGCAATCAGTTTGGATCTAGACACGGATCATGATAAACATGATGCAAAAAAGAATATTTGTGCAGCATATGCTATATAGGGTTACTTGACACAAGTATGAAAAACAGCATATAAACACTAGGCTCACCTTCAGCAGGCTCTGGATTGGCTTTGTTTCCTTCAGAAAAGTTTGATGGCTTGTTGCTGGATGGACCAGGTTGAAGATCAGTCTTGTCGTCTACAGCCAGAGGCTCGATGCTGGACAGACCAAGCAGAAGATCCCGCTGATCGTCTACAGCCTGAGACTCAAAGCTGGACAGAGCAGACTGAAGATTATCTGTTGATGGGCCTGGCTGTGGACCCACGGGTTCTGTGTCAGACGGAGGCTGTGAAAAAGACACTTTATTGCCTCGACGTCGACGCCGATTGGCTTTTTGTAAAGCCAAACATTTCATTCTGAAGAAAGCACACAGGCTATTCTTCTTGTTGTTTGGTTGTGTTTCTGAAAACAATGACAAAAAAAGATTTCATGTTACAATTTTTTACCTTCTCTTATTAGTAAAACACTTTAATAATAATTATAATTTCAAGTTGTGTGTGTGTGTGTGAGAAGGATTAAAGATATTTATTTAGTTTGGACACTGAATATAAGGATCAGAATGAACAGGAACCACAAAAAATTGTACATTATATACTATAAAATATAATATTTAAATAATACTTATTTAAACGTTGTATTATAATACTTATAATATATGTATATTACATATCTATTGATGTTATGTTGATGTAATTTTCTCAGCCCATTTACTACGTTTAATCAGAGTAGATCTAAGATTGTCATTTGAGTTACATCACTGATCTTTTTATTTTGAACAGCTGAGAAAAACAAAGACACTACAATACATTAAATTAAATAAATGCTTACTAGTATTACATAAAAACATACAAATTATTTTTTTATAAAATTACTTTTAGCTTTTTTTATTGTGAATGTTACCGACATCAACAATGCATGACTAGACATAGTTATTGTGAATTACTATATAGCATTGACAGATTTTAGTTTCCCAGTTAGCATCTATTGTTGTCATTAAAATATATTTTTACATTTAAAATATAAAGGGATTGGTAAGTCTAATTACTCAAACTTCTTTGAGAAAAGCCTATAGGCTGCATTTAGTTTACAGTTTTAACTCGGGTAAAAAACTATAACTATTTCAGTTTTTATTTTATATTTCTTAAGACATTTTAAGCTCCAGGAGTCTCTTGCATATTCACAGTGGTTCCTTGTTGATGTCCGTAAGTTAAACATAATACGGAAACAGAGGCGCCAGGCCAGGTTGGGATGTCTGTAAATGTGGGCTGCCTACGAGCTCAGATGTAATTTGACATTTCGCTTAAATTATGAATTACGATGCTGGCCTCCATGTTGGATTTCTGAACATAGACATTGTGCTTGGAGAGTACGGTAGGCCTATCAGACTTTTGAACACTAGTAAATATGAACAAGAATTTACCTGTTGAGCTGTTCGCCATTGATGTGTCAGTAGAAGGCAAAACTGGCATCAAAGAAACGCGGTAAAAAACGCAGTGAACTGTTTTTTTCTCTCGCTTTCGCTCGATTACCGTTCAAGTGTGCAGTTTTCTGATATTCTGAAATGTTCCTCGGCCTCGGTGACGTCATGGAATCCGTGGAATCTTTCGAACGAATTTCGTATAATGCGGTCAAGGCTGTTAATTGAAACGTCACTGACATTTCTGACATGTTTTCCTATAGTCAGCAAAGTGGAGAAACTTCAACTCTATTACCAATAATCAATATTTATAATATAATATTGATATACAATTAATCAATAATTAAATCACTAAGTTTTTGGTTGGGTTTTTAGACTTATTTAAATAAAACGTCATCAAGGAAACAACTCTTCAGTTTAAAATATATTATTTAAAAATATATATTAGTCAGAATTATTAGCCCCCCTTTAATTTTTATTTCTTTATATATATATATATATATATATATATATATATATATATATATATATAAACTTTACTAAACACACTAAATTAACAAAATGGACATATTTGTGGTTAACAAAACATAATCAAAACAATATAAATATAATTTACCCTAAATGATTTTTAAATAATATAACTTAATTTTACTTGTATCAGCTTTCACTTTCAAAAGGACAGCTTATCAGTGGTATTTACTGCAATGATTTGTTGATCATCAAATTTATGTCATAAACAAAAAGGAAAGGTACTTTTTTTTTTTTTTTTTTTTTTTACAAAAGTGTTTTTTATGCATGCACACAAGCACAGATAAACTTGTTTGTTGGTTTTAGTAAATTGTGGGGACATTCTATAGGTTTCCATTATATTTATACGGTATGACTGTATTTTCTATTGCTCTACCTCAACCCTTACAAGAAACTGTGCATTTTCACTTCATGTAAAAATCTCATCGTCTTTTGAAAAGCCAGAGAAGGCATTTAACAGATTTTTTTCAGTGCTTAAAGTCAAAATGAAATCATTTTACTATTCTTATTTCTAGATGTAGATTTTAGTGCTCCTAATCAACAATGTATCTGTGCACTTCAGTATTTTGTAAAATTGTATTTGCTCTCATAATTCTTTCATTAATTTTCTTTCAGCTTAGTCCCTTTATTCATCAGGAGTTGCCGTAATGAATCGCTAACTTATCCAGCATTTATTTTACTCAGAGGATGCCCTTCCAGCTGCAACCCGGTACTGGGAAAGACCCATACACTCTCACATGCACACACTTGCAGTACACTACAGCCAATTTAGTTTATTCAACTCACCTATATACTGCATGTCATTGGACTGTGGGGGAAATGGAGCACCCAGAGGAGACACATGCGAACAGAATGAGCATGCTCCATGCTCAAAGTTCACATACAAATACCAACTGACCCAGTCGGGACTCGAAGCAACGTCCTTCTTGCTGTGAGGTGACAGTGCTAACCACTGAGCCACTCTGTCACCCCACTCTCATAATCTTTAATCAAATTAGATGTTTCCTCCTCTCTTAAAATGACTTTTCTTCACTTTTGGTCACTTGGAATGCCTTTAAGACGGGACTAACGGTTCTTTAAGGTGGGGCTATCAGACCGTGTCTCATTCTGCACTGCGTTCATACAGTCATCAATTTTTCTCCATTTTGTTAGATTTTGTTTGCAACATCCATCTTTCAACAATCCAATCAGTTTCCAAAAGACAAGTCATCCACCACCCTACTTATTTTGTTTGGATGTTTGTCACAATATGGGGAAAAAACAACAATCTTTACTTCTTTTCATGCTGATTTCCCTAAAAATGAGAATTGCCATAATTTATTTAACTTGCGTCTTTTCAAACACATTCTGTTTAAGAAAGAGTTAAATATTTTAAAGAATAATGGTAGCTGGGGCGTTACGGTGGCACAGTGGGTAGCACAGTCGCCTCACAGCAAGAAGGTTGCAGGTTCGAGCCCCGACTAAGTCAGTTGGCATTTCTGTGTGGAGTTTGCATGTTCTCCCTGTGTTCGCGTGGGTTTTCTCCGAGTCCAAAGCCATGAGCTACAGGTGAATTGGGCAAGCTAAAATTGTCCATAGTGTATGTGTGTGAATGATGTGAATGGGTATTTCCCAGTGATGGGTTGTGGCTGGAGGGGCATCTGCTGGATGGAACAAATGCTGGATAAGATGGCGGTTCATTCCGCTGTGGGGACCCCAAATTAATAAAGGGACTAAGCTGAAAAGAAAATGAATGAATGAATATTGGTATCTAACATTTTGATTTCTACTGATTTCCATTGGATCAACTTTGTATTCAGCTGAAGAAATAAACAGATACATGTTTAGAGTTGCACAGTGATGTGTAATAGATGATAGATTTTCATTTTTGGATGGACTGTCTCTTTACCCATTTTCACTATTGTTCTGAACCACACTAACTGCAGCCAAGCTCATTGTACAACTTTGTCACATTATATAAAGTAAATCTTTAATTATATACATTAAAATCCACTTTTCCTGAAAATCCTTAATCATAAAAAGAGTTCAGCTTTTTTCTCCCTATAATACACATTCTCACATGTGTGTTAAGTGTCCAAAAATAAAATGTTATTATGGTAAATGTAACGGAGTAAATGTAAAATGTAAATAAGTAAATGTGCATCATTCCAGAGTCCAGAACTGTCCTTTATTAATTGCACTCACATTTTAATAAATGACAAAATAAAAGTAGATCCCATGCAGAATATGTATTAAACAATAGGCCCAGCTTTGCACTTGTGCTCTACACAATGATGAGAAAGTTTGAACTAATCCAGTCTCAGTTTCAGTGTGGAACATTCTGACATGTGCAAGCATTCATACACAAAATCCCCTTTTCACAATAAAAAAACTACAATAGTAATCCAAAATCATTTAGATACTTAATTCAAGTAAGAAATTTTATAAAGAGTCAACAGCGGAACCTGAGGAAAGACATTTAAACCAAAAGACACTGAGAAACCATAAAAAGGATTCAACTTTGAGTTAAACAGGTTTTTGTAAAAGGTGCTAATGCCCTCTGCTGGACAGAACATAAACTGCTCCTGTATTTTTTTTTATAGGGCTCTTTTCACTTCTTTTTCTTCTTCTTCTTCCCTTCCTTCCCTTTCTTTTGCAATTTTCCTCCTTTAGTTTTCCCTTTTTTAAGAATTGCCTGTTCTTCACTGGCTTTAGCTGCACGCGCTCGTTTTTTGCCCAGAGGTGTCCGGCTGTACCATGCCTACAAGTACACACAATATAATATCAGTTTAAATATACGCATAACTTGAGCTCAATACACCAACATCGTTATCCATCATCATCATTTTGGAATTATAAGGATTTATCTGATATTTCTGTCAAAATTGAGTCATTCAAATTTTCCTATTTTGTGGTAACTATACAAAACATTGTGCACATTTGGAGCTTTTTTATTTTATTTAGCTACAACATTAAACTCAGCACTTTGAATGCACACAATAGAACCAACCAGTATCATCTCAGAGGCCTGTTGAGTTATTTTACCCAAAAGATGCAGTTACACGTCATCACTATGGAGATGATTTACAGAGTCCCACTCTAGGCCAAATTTCAAATCCCCTGACTTTCACTGAATAAAAAGCTGAATTCTGTGACCTATAATGCACAGAAACACAGACAGATGTTTTGTTGAGGAATGAGCAAACTAAACTGCCACAGGCAGGGGGCTGGATTTCACTTAATTGCTTGTTGACAAGCGGGAAGGAAGTTTTTAGGAGAATAGCCTAATAACATTCGAAATGGGAAAAATGTAATATAAAAAGACAAGGGGATTTAGAAAATGACATTTTGTAATTGAAACCCTAGATTTAACATGCATTTTTTGTTAAAGTTAGTAAAAATTAGTTGCATAGCTTTAATTATTTTAGATATATGTATACACACAGGCGGTTCATTCCGCTGTGGCGACCCCAGATTAATAAAGGGACTAAGCCGACAAGAAAAGAATGAATGAATGTATACACACACAAACACACACACACACACACACATACATACACACACACACACACACACACACACACACACACACACACACACACACACACACACACCGGTCACTTTATTAGGTACACTTTACTAGTTCTAGGTTGGACCCCTATTTTGCC